CATCGGATTACCACTTATTTCGATCCCTGGACAACACCCTTCGTGGTAAAACTTTTAACGATGATGACGCTGTAAAGTCTCACTTAACTCAGTTTTTGGCCGAAAACGATCAGACTTTCTACGAGCGTGGAATTTTCAAGTTGTCGGAGAGATGGCAACAGGTCATCGAACAAAATGGAAAATACATTACAGATTAAACTTCGTTCCAAGTGAAAAAGAATCTTTTATTTCATTGAACAAATCGGCAATTACTTAGTTGCCAACCCAATAGTTTCTCGTATCGGTGGAGTCTCTACGGTAATGTCTCTCTAATTGACGACCAGATTGACCAGAGAAATGGACAATTTGGGGAGAGGAGATGCGATTGTTCGAGCTTTGCGGTTTATTTTTATTGTTGTAAATTGTCCACAATTATAAGAACGAGCCGTAAAGTACGAACAATCGTGTCTCCTCCAAATTGTCCATTTCAGTGGACAATCTGAGCGTCAGTAAGGGAGACATTATTGTATTTGGAATTGAATTTAATATTGTTTGTTTGAGCGTTTGTCGAAGGGCGGAAGAGAAGCGGAAATTTCGCGAGGAAATTTAACAATTTTCGTTGAATCTGCGCAAGTTGCTATAATGTTTATCGTATATTATCATGTATTCGATACTTACTTAGTTGCCAACCCAATAGAAAAAATTCTCTTGCGTTGGAGAACGCTCGAAGTAATGTATTGACATTCCAGCACGATGTAAAGTCGCAGCCTTTGCATCGCTGCATCACGTGCACGTTTTATCGTATCTGGATTTATGCCAACGCGAGCTGCGATAACACATTGTCTCGAGGTTTTCGCGTTGTCGGAGCCGCTTTGATGCGCAACATTTTTTAGTGCCGTTTATGGGAAAGAGAATCACCGATGCTACGCTCTTTTCTTCTGTTTCATCTGTTTCATTCTGCAATTCCTTTAGCGTTCATTGGCATGCCCGACTGCCTGCTTTCACTTCTTTTTCATCGAAACGATTTATATACTTGAAAATCTTGTCTATAGAAATTTTATTTTATTCGCTTTAACGATAATATTCTTCGCATTCGTTTATTCGATTGATTCATCTGTATTCTCCAGAAACGTTTCCGATTTTTTGACCACGTTTCTGAGACGTGATAATTCTTTCTAGCCTGATATTTTTACCACGTCTCTCACACGTGATACTCATTTCTGGCCCCATTTTTGACCACTTCTCTGACACGTGATAATAATTCCCGCTCGATTTTCTTTACCACGTCTCTCAGACGTAATAATCATTTCTGACTCAATTTTTTCACCACGTCTCCCAGACATGATAATCATTTCTGGTCCGATTTTATCACCACGTCTCTCAGAGGTGATAATCATTTCTGGTCCGATTTTTTGATCACGTCTCTCATACGTGATGTTCATTTCTGGCTCGATTTTTTCACCCCGTCTCTCAGACGTGATAATCGTTCCTGATCCGACTTTTTGACCACGTCTCTCATACGCGACGATCGTTTCCGGCCCGATATTCTCACCACGTCTCTCAGACGTGCACAGGAAAAGGTTTAACCTCCCTAAACATATCCTTTTCTCGGTCCCTTCCATCGCGCCAACGTGATCCGTTCGACAAGCGTGGAACAGCGCCGTTTCACTCGTTCCCAGTCACAACGGAACATCGCGCAGTTAATCGCGGGCCTTT